TCTTTCTTTCTTTCTTTCTTTCTTTCTTTCTTTCTTTCTTTCTTTCTTTCTTTCTTTCTTTCTCTTTTTCTCTCTGTCTCCCTCCCTTTCTTCTCTCCCTCTCCCCTCCTCTCTCCAATGTTTGGATCATTTTAAGCAAGTTATTATTTTCCCAGTTTCTTCCATTGTAAAGAGAAATTTAAAGACAATTAATGTCCAAACGTTTAATAAACCAATGTTGAATAGTCTCCCTAAGCATGCATGCATATAAAGTTTTCGTGGGTACTTACATGTATGGTATTCAGCTTTGTTCAGGTATTTTCCCACGTCATTGTAGTTGTGCTTTTAAAGTTGTAGCAACGTTTCAGCAGAATCTCATCTGCCTAACTGATTTATTTATTTTTTTAATTTTTTTTCTTTTTTTTCTTTTAAATAAAGTTTATTTAAGATTCATACATTTAAAACATTTAAAAAACAAATGAACATATAAACAGATATATATACATATATACATTTTGCAGCAAAAGTTGAGCAATGGTTACACATTTTTTAACATTTTTTAACATTGACGTGATCTGCCTTGTTACAATACCTTCTTCGTTCTTTCAATGTTTTAGTTTCACAAAATGCTTTGTAATTAAACACATGTCTTCCATAACTTTGTAACTTATCCAGTTGTCAAATATTGCCTTTTCTTTAACCATTCATACCAGCAATTCCATGATTTATAGTAATCGCTATCTTGGTTATTTTTTAGTAATTTAGTTAGGCTATTCATCTCTGCGCACTCGTTAATTTTTTTGATGACCATCTCCTCTGAAGGTATGGTAGACAATTTCCAATTTTGTGCATAGCTTATTCTAGCTGCCATTATAATGTGTAGAAACAAATATTGGTATTTTTTTTCCATTTTTGAATCTGTCATACCCAGCAAGAAAGTTTCGGGTTCAAGTTTTACTTCTTGTTTAGTTATATTTAAAATCCAATTTTTGATATTTTTCCAAAACTTTTGCGCATATGGACAGGTCCACCACATATGGAAATATGTTCCCTGGGTGCAGTTACACTTCCAGCAGATTGGGGGGAGGTTGAGGAACATCTTATGCCAGCGATACACCATTTTATAGAGGTTCGCTTTATACGAGGTGTTATGTTTGGGAAAGGAGAGGCTTGACCAGAGCATGAGTGCAACAATACTTTATTAAATATAATAAAGGGCTGACCGTGCTTGCCACGCCTGGAACTGGCTCGCAGCAATCAGCAACGGGTCCGACCCCACAGCCTGCTTTTATAGCTGGCTGCTGGGGAGAGCCGACCAATGAAGGGGGGGGAAGAACGCCCACTCAAGTGAACGGACCTGAGTGAGAACCTCAGAGGGTCTTCAGGACATAACACCCCTTCCCCCCAGATGCGCACACGCATAGTCCTTGAGGTAGGCAGGGGGCTTGTGTTGGCGCCCGGAACGGCGCAGCTCAGGAACACTGTCCATCTGTCCCGGGTCTGCCTGGGAAGGCGGAGTCGGCAAAGTGTCACCAACATGCCTCTCGGTTCGGGCATGCTCAGAGCTCGTCGGGCTGGTTGCCGGGGGTGAGTTCCCGTGGACTGGGTCTGGCTGGTCGATCGTCTGGGCGCTGCTTTCTGCGCTCGGGCTGTCTGGAACGGCTAGTGGAACAGACTGGTCACTGGGTACGATATGGATGTGGGGTTGGTGCTGAGGTCTCTCCTCGGCTGGAGACTCCGGATCTCTGCTGGTGAGGGTGCTGAGGCGCCTGCGAAGTTGGTCTATGTGCCTCCTCCAGACGCGGCCATCCTCCAATCTGACCCGGTATGAACGCGGTCCGGTGACTGCCACGATCTCGCCCGGAATCCACAGGGGGTCTCCAGCGAAGTTCCTCGCGAACACAGGCTCCTGTAAAATAAAATGTCTAACCCCCGACGTGGAAGCAAGGGGAGAGTCAGGGCAGTACTGTGGGTGAAGTCTGTCCAATACAGTCCTCAGGCGTCGGCCCATCAGGAGCTCCGCTGGGGACTTATTGGTGACTGAACAAGGAGTTGAGTGTTGGCTCATCAGGAACCGCGAGAGCTTGTGGTGCCAGTCGTCCTTGTTGAACCTAGCCAGGGCTTCTTTAGTGGTCCTGACGGCCCTTTCAGCCAACCCATTACTGGCAGGATGAAATGGGGCTGTGAAAATGTGGCAGATACCCAGGTTGGCAACGAAACGGCTGAACTCGGTCGAAGTGAACTGCGGGCCGTTGTCCGAGACAATGGAGTCGGGTAGCCCGTGCGTTACGAACAGGCGTGTTAATACGTTGGTGATCGCTAGTGTGGTGGTCGTGGACAACTGTGCTACGTCAATCCATTTGGAATAGGCGTCCACGACCACTAGGAACATCTTCCCATGCAAGGGGCCGGCCAAATCGATATGAATTCTAGACCATGGGGCGCTGGCATTCTCCCATCTGGTAGGGGTGGTGATGGGGGGAGCAGGACGGGATTCCTGACAAGTGATGCAGGAACTTACCCAATTGACAATGTCCTCGTCGAGACCCGGCCACCACACGTAGCTGCGTGCTAGTGCCTTCATTCTCACGATGCCCGGGTGACCCTCGTGCAGTGCTTCCAGGACCCAGGTCCGTAGTGATGCTGGGATGATCACTCGAGTGCCCCACAGTAGACAGCCCTGCAGACTGGACAGTTCCTGCATGCGAGTCTTGAAGGGTGTGAATTTATTTTCAATATTACCACCCGGCCACCCCCTCCTTACCCAGTCGAGCACCTGGGCGAGCGTTTGATCTGCCTTGGTTTTGGCAGCAATGTCCATGGCAGTAAGGGGTAGGTCCAACTGGGTGATTTCGAAAATGGCGTGTATAGGAGCAGGGTCTTCAGCCGGAGCCGGTAAGGGGCATCGACTGAGGGCGTCAGCGTGGGATAGCGTCTTACCCGGGCGGTGAATAAGTCTGTAGGAGTAAGCGGCTAGAAAGAGGGTCCACCTTGTCATTCTCGGGGAGAGGACTTGAGGGGTCTCTTTATCCCTGGCTAATAGGCCCAGGAGGGGCTTGTGGTCAGTAACCAGTTCAAAAAAATGGCCAAAAAGGAATTCGTGAAATTTTTTCACGGCTGCGACAGCTGCTAGGGCTTCCTTATCGATCTGGCTGTAGTTGCGCTCCGTGGTGGAGAGCGTTCTCGAGAAAAAGGCGATGGGAGCCTCGGCGCCATTGGGAAGTCTGTGACTAAGGACCGCCCCGATTCCAAAAGGGGAAGCGTCCGCTGCTAGTACTAGAGGGAGGTTGGGGTCAAATTGGATAAGAACGGCCTCTGATGTAATTAGAGATTTGACGGCGTGAAAAGCCTGGTCTTCTTTGTGCCCCCAGTGCCATGGTGACCTTTTGTCCAGTAATCTGTGTAGGGGTTCAGCTACTGACGCCTTGTGGGGCAAGAAGGATGCGTAAAAATTCAATAGCCCCAAGAAAGCCTGTAGTTCCGTTTTGGAGGTTGGAGTGGGTGCGTCGTGGATTGCCTTAACCTTGGACTCCAGGGGGTGAATGCCAGAGGCGTCAATTTTATAACCCAGAAAGTCCACCTGTCTAGTGGCAATGGCACATTTTTCTTTTTTCAACTTGAGGCCATGCTGTCTGAACCTCTCTAACACTGCTCGAACTCTCTGGAAGAGTTGGGGTCGGTCCCTGGCCGAGACCAAGATGTCGTCGAAGTAGGGTACTACTCCAGGGAGGCCCTGTAAAATCCGCTCCATGAGGGATTGAAAAATACCTGGGGCAACACTTACGCCAAATTGGAGACGCTTGCATCTGAAGGCACCCCTGTGAGTGACAATGGTCTGGAGTTCCGCTGTTTGGTTATCAACAGGGAACTGCTGATATGCTTGAGACATGTCCAATTTTGCGAAAATGGTGCCCGGTTCGAATGTGTGTAATAAATGTTGGATGACAGGCACCGGATAAGCGCTAACTTGTAAGAATTTATTAATTGTCGTCTTGTAGTCCGAGCAAATTCTCAGGCTACCATCCTTTTTGAGGGGTGTGACAATGGGCGTCTCCCACTTGGCGAAATCTGTTGGCTCGATGACCCCTTGTTTTAATAGTTTATCCAATTCTGCATCGAGTTTTGGCCGAATAGCGAATGGCACTCTACGCGGTTTTAGTCGGATTGGGACTGCCTGGGGGTCAACCGAGAATGAGATGGGGGTACCATTATAACACCCCAGCTCTTCGCTGAATACATCTGAGTAATCAGCGAATAAGGAGTCAGTGTCTGAGGTTGAGACAGCATGGACTCCTGTTAGCCCTAGGCCGAGATGGGGGAACCAATCGAGTCCCAATAAGGTGGGTAAATTACCGTTAACTACCACTAGAGGTAGGTGGCCTTTAAAAGTTCTAAAACTGACATGGAACTTGCCTCTGCCGATCACAGGAATGGTCTTCCCCTGGTAGTCCTTCAGGCTATACTGGCATCTCTGGAGCTGGCTCGTGGATAGGCTGGGTTGGAGCCTCTTGAGGGTGTTCCACGAGATTATTGAGAGCGCTGACCCTGTGTCCACCTCCATGTGACACGGTTTACCTTCTAGGGAAACGGAGAGAGAAATTTTACTAACTGCGTGGCATGAGCGTTTGGCAAGGTGGTGCGTGCGACAGTTTAATACTTGCCTCTGTGGTCCCGAGTGTGAGGGGGGGTGTCGTTGTGCTGCGCCCTGGGGTGCTTGGCAGACTCTCGCGATGTGTCCCCTTTTATGGCAGTTATTGCAGGTGGCTCCCTTAAACTTGCAGGTGGCCCTCTGGTGAGATCCCCCACAGGCTAGGCACAGGGTGACGTGCTTGGGCGGACCGATGTTGCCTAGTTTGGCTCCTACCTGCGCCCTTCTGTCGTTGGCGAGGTGGTGGACGTCGTTTTCTTCATTGATGATTTCTTCCGCTACCACCTCTTCGGAGTGGACTGGGAGTGAAGTCATCTTGGCACTTGGGCCCTGGATTTCGGTGGCTGAGTTCGCAGCCAACTCGGCTGCTAGGGCCTCCTCGACTGCTTGCGCGAGGTTGAGGTCTTTTTTGGCGAGAAGGCGCCTTTGCAAGTGGAGGTCCTTGACCCCGCAGACTAGTTGATCGAGGAGCATATCTTCCAGGTAGGTTCCAAACCCACAATGTAACGCAGCTGTTCGGAGGGCAGCCATATACTCATTGATGGTCTCCTTGCTCGATTGCTTTCTCATGCGGAAAGTGAATCTTCTGGCGATCTGTGAAGGCCTGGGAGCATAGTGGTTCGTGAGGACTTCTAGTAACTCAGACCACGGGACGTTTTTCAGCTCGCGCGGAGCCACGAGTGCCGTGGCGGTGTCGTAGACGGTGGCTCCACAGTAGATTAGGAAATAGGATTTTTTCCGATGCTCTCCCGCATCCGCCAGGCCGACCGCGTCGATATAATGATTAAAGCGGTTCTTATACGATTCCCATTTCTCCTCATCTGGTTTAAACGCCAGGAAGACTGGATTGGAACTCATGGTGCTGGAACCGACTAAGCTACCTGTGGAAAAAATCTCTCTGGGGCAACAGACAATGTTTAGTGCCCGGGCAGGCAAGTGATTTCAGCTCAGGAGAGGTTGTCCGCAATCCTCTCTTTCTCTCTGGGTTAACCACGTTTGGCTGATAGCCGTTGGCGGCGTTTGGGTACGCGCCTGTGTGGGTGTCAGCGATTTGGGCTACAGCGCTGTGCTGTACCCTTTAGGTTTGAAATTCAAACAGTGACCGTTTGAATTTCGCGCCCGATTTGAGCGGCTGCGGCTCGCAGCGCTTCACTTTCCCTGTAGCAGGGCTAACAAGCGGCTACAGACGCTTCTAACTCTTTATTCTGACCGCTCTCTCTGGCTGCGGATCAGCGTTTGCTCTTTTTGTTTGCTCTTTCGTCTGCTGACCGCTCTCTCTGGTTGCGGGTCAGCGTTGCTCTTAACGCCGGCCGATCGCTCTCTCTGGCTGCGGATCGGTGGCTTAGTGACTCAGCGGTTGCATGGTGCTTCTGGTAGCCATCCCATCCTCGTCGCCAGTGTTATGTTTGGGAAAGGAGAGGCTTGACCAGAGCATGAGTGCAACAATACTTTATTAAATATAATAAAGGGCTGACCGTGCTTGCCACGCCTGGAACTGGCTCGCAGCAATCAGCAACGGGTCGGACCCCGCAGCCTGCTTTTATAGCTGGCTGCTGGGGAGAGCCGACCAATGAAGGGAGGGGAAGAACGCCCACTCAAGTGAACAGACCTGAGTGAGAACCTCAGAGGGTCTTCAGGACATAACACGAGGCTGACATAGTTAATTTGTAATTTGTTTCCCAAATTTGTTCCCACTTGTCTAATTCAATACCGTGGCCCACATTTTTTGCCCAAATTATCATACACTCCTTGACTGTTTCTTTTAATTTATAATCCAATAGATATTTATATATTTTACTAATCATCTTCTTTTCCTCTCCTTGCCAAATTTTATCTAATTCTTGGTAGGTCATGTTAAAGCCAAATTATTCTTTATCTTTTTTGTAATGCGATTGTATCTGCACATAGGGCCACCATGCTATCTCTTTTCCTAGAATTTGTATTTGATTCCTAGCCTTTAACTCTCCATTTTTATGTAATAAATCTTTATATCTTACAATATTATCAAAATCTAAAACATTTGGATGTGCAACTGCCTCCATTGTAGATAACCACAGTGGGACCTTACTGTAATGTACTTTTTTTATCTTTTCCCAAATATTTAGTAGCACATTCCCTATATAATGCCTTTGAAAGTGGTGTTTACTCTTTCCATCCCACATAAATGCGTGCCACCCAAGTTGGAGATCAAAACCCTCTAGTGTTAAGATCCTTTTATTTATCAAATTAACCCAGTCTTTAAGCCAAGTTGCTATTGCAGCATAGTAATATATTTTGAAATCTGGAAGACCAAAGCCTCCTTTCTTTCTATAATCTTGTAATAATTTATATTTTATTCTGGGTTCTTTCCCTTGCCATATAAATTTGGATATATGTTTATTTAGTTCTTCAAAAAAGCTTTTTTCCAACTTGATTGGCACCATCTGAATAGGAACAACAATTTTGGCAGAACATTCATTTTTACTATTGCAATATGACCTAATAGTATATTGCTTTTTGGTTGGATATAGTTCTCTCCACAGATCCTTCAAGTTTAATTCCCTTACCATGTTATTAAAAGACGATGGGAATAGTCTCCTTTTATTTTTATTTTTTTTGGAACTTTTATAGTCTTTGTCCTTGTCTGAAACAGCATTTAAATCTCCAACAATGCAAACATTTGTATATTCATTTTCTACTATCTTATGATGGAGTTTATTATAAAATTCTTTTTGATTTACATTCGGGGCATATACTGTAACTAACAAAGTCTTTTTCTGGTTTTAATATTATTTCTATAAATAACATTCTTCCATCATTATCTTTATATACTTGTTTGTGTTGCAGCCAATCTTTTATATATACTACGATACCCCTTTTTCTTTAATTGGAAAGAGCCCAATGCATTTTTTTCCCAAATTAGTATCCTTTAGGAGGTCTGCCTGTTTATCTATGATGTGTACCTCTTGTATACAAGTTATATCTGCATTTTGCTTTTTAAGTTTTTCAAATGACTGTTTCCTTTTTAATGTTGAATTTAAACCATTGATATTAACTGAGAATAAGGTAATTTTTCTGCTCATATTACTGTCTGTGTAATATGTAAACATTTTTTGTTTCTTTCTTTGTTCTGGGTTCTCTTGTACTTGGCCTGTTGTCCTCATCTTCTCTAAGTTTCTGAAATTCTG